AATGCAAATACCACAGGGACCCCATTCTGATGTGCAATACTAATGATGTTATGAAGAGTGTCATCTAAGCCTCCTGTGGAATAAAGAAAAGTGATCGTGGAATATGTGTGGAATAAGATGGGAAGAAATATAATGGATGGAAGTAAAGGTACAATGTACCTGTTACATTCCTGGAATAGAATACTCATTTTGGTGGTGTTTGTTTGATGAAAGCGATGGTGATGGTAATGATATATGTTGATGATGCATGATGATGTAGATGATGATGATCTTTATTGTATTGTATGATGAAACATCATGATGATGATACATGACAATGATAAATGATAGTGATGATAATTATGATGTTCATGATGCTAAGATGTTCATGATGCAAAATGACGATTACAGATGATGATCATGATGATAATAATGATGATGATGACAATCATTACCTGCACTYTTAATTCTCTCCACGTTGGGTGATATAATAACCAATTTGATTTTCTTCAGCTTCAAGTGCTTGGTAACCTCTCGTAACCCAACCACGAAACGTCGCTTAGCTTTGGACTGAAAAAAAAAAAAAAAAAATTCAAAAACATAACAGCAAATTATTTATTGCATCGTTAGGCTTTAGCAACTATAATAACCGTTCACGATACGAGATGTGATTGGCTGTCAGTACGTTCAACAAATCGATTTAGATTTRAAATACAATTGAGTTCTAACGCGCGCCCTGATTGGTCGAAATACCATTTTAGATAAGAGTGTGTAAAACGCTCACGTCATTATTTCACGCTTAACTTCTGAATTTGAACTTTCTCTATGGGAAAAATAAAAGTGTTTTCCTTAATTTTTGTGCTTGTTATTTAATAGGARTGGTTGCCTACACTTCTCTAGTGTTCTCGCAGAATCCCACGTGTTTTTTTGTCAGAGCATTCTCGTACCCAAAGCCTWTTCAGCTTTCTAACGAAAAATCTATTTTTCGCCAGAAACGAGAAGGGTCTGAATACGAGAATGTGATCAGAGTATCTAAAACTGTTTTATATTTCATTTCTTAAATGTTTTACCTTGACGGGATCCTTGTGGTACTGTCTGTCCTGGAACATGACCAGTTTCTGAAGCAGTTGAAGTGTAGTATTGTTGAGTTCTTTATCCATCACGTTATCACAGTACCTAGAACAAAACAAACACTTATTACACCTATCACTATTTACCTATCTTGTGCAATAGAAATGCGGTGTTCACCATACGCCTTACTCACACAGYGTCCATGTTGGTTTGAGCAATAGATTCAAGTACAATCATTTGCAAAAGTCAGCTTTAATGTAAAGAATGTGCAGCTTGAACAATACCAATGTTTTTGAAATCCCAAGGACTTTAAATGGTATCTGTGAATAGCTGACTGATAAACGATGCTAAGCCTGTGCAAATGAGTCTGTGGTCTTCAGAAACAGCGTTTTTTGTAAATAGATATGTAGACCCCTTCGATGATTTTTTTTGCTCTTGGGGTAAATTTGTGATGAAATATGTTTAAATAAAATAAATAAAAAACAGTGTTATGCATCGAATGTAAAACTGTTGTATTTCGAGGACAGAAGAGAAAGGTGAACTATATAAAACTCACTCTCGGAATCTTCGACTATGAATCTGAGCCTTGACGTCATCTTCAGAAGGAGCAACAGTCTGATCAATATTACTGCTGAGGTCAGCGGCAGTATCATCGGCGTTTCCATGGTGATGGGTTTTGACATCATCTTTTGACTGAAGGACAGTTAAGTCATTGTCTTCACTGGACGCTAATGATAGGAAATATTGGAAAGAGGTTATTTTTTGTGTAGATATAAAATGGCTGGGCCCGGTTGTACGAAGGGTGAATAGCGCTATCCGACGGATAAATCTTATCCAGTGGATAAATTTATTGGATAACAGCATCAACTGAATAAGGATTTATCTATCGGATAGCACTATACACTCTCCTTACAACCGGGTCCAGAACACTAGGTTCCCTTAACTCTGAAAAATGTAAATTTTTTTTCATGTAAAACAATTCTATCGTTTTTGCCATCCAATATGGATGCCGTCACGTGATCATGCCAAACTTCTATGAAAAGACCTTTTCTCATAGTGTTCAACTGAATTAAAAACAAACTTACATTTTCCTTCAGATTTGTGTCCGTCGCCCGTCTCCTCTGAAGAATGATGCTCTTCAGCCAAACTATTGAAAGAATTAAACATTTTAGTTGGGATACCTGTGGTCGAAAAAACGGGCAAAATTTAACTTTTTCCTTTTAAATTTAACCAACCTTTGGGATTCAGAAATTTCGTCTTGATTTCCTTCTCCTTCTGATGCTTTCCTTTTTTCTTCTCTTTCTTTGAGGATGATCTTGAAAGAACAATCGAGATTTAATAGAGGGAGGTAGTGGGGAGAGTTTCTAGGGGCAGGGGGAGGGGAATGAACGGACTGCTACGTTCTTAGGTGGAAGGGGTTTGAACAATGTTTAGGAGGAAAAAAATAAAAAAGTGGATGAGAGTCAAATATACTACAACTTAGGGGGATGGAGTGGTATTTTACGATATATTAAAGGTAAGGGGAGGCCAGGGGGACTGACGTCTATAATTTAGTGGGGAGGAGAGGGTGCTATGTTTGGTAGAAGGAGGGAGGGGAGGGAGGGTAAGTTTTGTTTACCCTTTTCATTTGGCTTGGTTTTTTCTTCTTGGGTGTTTCTCTTTCTTTTCCTCTCTTGACGACAGGAGCAGTGGAATCCAAGATATTGTGAAAAGTCTAAAAATAATAAAACAAAGTAAAAATCTTATTAAATACTAGGAAGAAAATCCAATAACTAATGAATTATTACTCAAGCATAGCCATTGTCCTTATGCAATTTTGAGGCTAGACTTGATGTGTTCATACATTTACTGTATTTTATCAAGCTCAGCCTCTACTTGAAGCAATAGACCTTCCCTGAATTCACTTCAGTGACCAGGAAACAATGGTTCCAAGTTGAGGTTAGACTTTATGTGTTCATACATTTAATGTATTTTATCAAGCTCAGCCTCTACTTGCAGATATAGACCTTTCCTGGATTCACTCCAGTGACCAGAAAACAATGGTTTCAAGTTGAGGATAGACTTGATGTGTTCATACATTTAATGTATTTTATCAAGCTCAGCCTCTACTTGGAGCAATAGACCTTTCCTGAATTCACTTCAGTGATCAGGAAACAATGGTTTCAAGATGAGGATAGACTTGATGTGTTCATACATTTACGGTATTTTATCAAGCATAGCCTCTACTTGCAGCAATAGACCTGTGTTCATACATTTACTATTATATTTTATCAAGTCTAACCTTGACTTGAAGTCATTGTTTTGAGTCACTCAAGTGAATTTGCAAAAGTCCATATGCCTTCACTTCAAGTAGCTCTGCATTTTTTTGTGATTGGGATTCCTGTGGCAGGCCGAGTAGATGGGAATCAAACATTACCTAAATATAGCCTGCGCTACTTAGCTGTTTGCTGTTATTTTAATAAGTTTGTTGCACAAATGTGGGAGAAGAGAGGGAAAGCCCTCAAACAGTTTTTCTTTCGTTTTTATTTCTTCGCAACAACCGCTGACTTCAAAACATCGCAGGCTATGACTAAAAATCTCGTCTTACCTTATCAGTAGTTGGCAGGCCATGAGTAACCTTCACTGCTGGTGCACGTGACGTGGCTGAAGGTTGATCTTTGACCTTGATTTGTAAGACTCCAGTTGCTATTGTTACTACTTTCTTGGGATGGGTTTCTTTATCTTTACTTGTTTTGGGTGGGATTTTCTGAAGAAGATAAAATGACAAAGTTAAACATTTTGCCATCATGAAAGATAAAAGTCCCAGGATTCATGCAGATCCTTAAATTCCTTGAAAAGTGCAGGAATAACAGAGCTCTAATRTCTTTTATTTAAAATCTCATTTAAAATCGGTACTCAAATATTATTGAAAACTGAAAAAAAAAAAAAACGTATATAAATTGTCATTTCGATGCTTGAAAACTCCTTGAATATGCACCCAGGGCTCCTTATCGTATCTTGGTGGCAAACAAAAGGGATGTAGGGTCTGGAAACGACAATACGACTGAGTATCGCGATCCTCGAGAGAGAGCCGCGACTACGGCCAATACGGAATATATTTTCTCCCGACTAGCCGCCAATATAGAGGTGAATGCCTATTGACACGGTGTTCACCGCATTTGTCTGTGTTTTCTGCCCCTGGCGGGTCTAATAGCTTGCGCAGTTTGTGTATGTGAATGTGTGTGAGAATTATATATAAGATATTTAAAGTTATCTAAGTTAATTAGCTATTTTTACAGATTCATACTTAT